ATTTTTTGCTTTCCTACATTTTAGGAGAGGCCAAAATCCACTCGGCCCCTCAACTATGTAACCCCTGATTTTGCGGAAACAGGAACGTTTTTGACAATCGCGGAAATAGGAAGACACCAATTTTGATGCCTGCTTCAGTTTCTGAATTTTCACGAAATGAAGATTATTTAAATTTTTTAATGCTCAAACAATGTTAAACACAAGACCTGCCCCCCCCAAAAAGTGTAGTTATTTATAATTCACAAGTACACGTATTTGTTCTGAGAAGAATATACAGCAACCGGGTAGATGAAGTATTAATAAAATATTTAATTACTGTAGTAGACTTAAGAAGCCACAAGTTATGTACACTATATATAAAGTTTGAAACTTCATAAAATCAATCTCAAACGGCTGTGAAACTCAGGCCATATCTGCGAGAAAAAAATCTGAAAGGGTTCAGATTTTAACGGTCGCTTAAAAGGATTTGTTAAGGTTTTTCTACGCTTTCACTGAGTTCGCAGTTTGCTGTTACACTCGTTCCTGCTAATCCATTTTTGTCTTTTTAGCTTTGTTATAACACATCATTTTCTTCGCACTCACGCCATATGCCATTGAACAGCAAAATTGCAAAGGAAAAAAAAAATTAAAAGAAGTATACGTTTGCAGCTCGATGCAGCGTTTTTGGCATATATTTATTTATTTATTTTTTTAGTCTCTTCTTAGTTCAACATATCAGTGTTTAGTTTTCTTAGTAAAACATTTTGTCTTTTAATTACCCAAGATTTGTGTACTTACTTTATTTATTAAGTATCACTTACGCGAAATCTTACTTTATTTATTAAGTATCACTTGCGCCACATAAAACTCAATTCAACAGCAAAATCACAAAATATTTACAAACAGCATATCTTTAGAATTTCCGATAGACAGTGTCGCGCTGGAGATAAAAATGTTTTATTCGGTACAGTGTTGCCACTGCTCGCTTTCAAACGGTTGAGTTTGTTAATCAAAAGTCTAATAAAATTTTACACGATATGAAATATAAAACTTTATGATATGAAATTTTTGTTTTGGACGATTCAAAATCTCGTTTCGAGATTAATATCCTTTTACGGCTAATTTTTTTTTTGTCAACGACTTTCAAAAACTAAATTTTTTGTATAAAGTACCCAAATATGACGCAACTGTTTCACAGCCAATGAGAGAGAAGAATGCTATTTTTTTAATTATTCCTTTGCGTCACAAGACATATGATGAAAACGTCAACTACAGATGACTTATTTTTCTTATTGATACGTATAACACTTTTTCTGTGACTGTACAAGGACACAAAAGGGAATTTCAACACTTTGTACAAAATGATTGTTTTTTTGTATATATGAAATGATAGTTTACAAAGATATCATTTATCGAGAAGTTGTGAGCAACATACACTATTGTATCGTAATAACAGATCATATAGGACAAACTGCACATTTGTAAGAAAAGCTAAATTTTAAGTAATTACAGTTCATGAAAATAGTAACTGTTTTTAAAGGAAACATTTCAATATTTGGAAAGGCTATGCAACATTCAACTATAAAATTTTTAATTTAATGGGTTAGGATTTAATGTAAACAATTTTGATTTTAGCAACTGCTCTGTATGTATTTAACATTCATTTTATAAATAAACAAAGCCTTTTTTTTTTATGTTTATAATAAATAAAACTATAATAATATAATAATACAATAAAACTTATTGTGAAAATAAATTTAAAAGCCCACAAATTAATTATACCTTACTCATACGTATGTAATTACGAATCAAATTAAAAAAATTAGTTTATGAATTTTAATGCAAGAAATTTATTTAACTTTAAGTTTTGAAAATATGTTATTTATGATACTTTCAAAAGTTAAATAGTCTGAATATCGAATAAAAATGAAGGGAAAAAAAAGGTAATTATAAATTAAAAGTAAAGGACAATTACCAATTTGTTTAAGGTAAAATTATCAATTTAAATGACAGCAAAGATGACACAGCTTTTGAAGAAAGTTGTAAAAATAGTTAATACAAATATTACGATAAGTATTAATTTTTTAATTGCTTTATAATCCTGTTATTTATAAACAATTACATAATGCAGTACATTTAATTAAATTCTCGAAACACTGCCATTTTCGTTACTACTCAACGCAAACGGAAAACATAATGATACAAGTCATAATCAAGTTATTGCACCTTCACTTTTGAACCATTAATTTTTAACTCATTTACAAGAAGCATCACTCCAACAGTTAGAACCTTCGAGTACTTTTTCATGACAAAATATTTATTATTAACATTGGTAATTTGAAAGAACTGGTGATAGAACATGAAGCAGCTGTACAGAACTCGTTCTATTTTAAGGCTAATTTCACAGCCAGTTTCAAGAAAATACAATAATGGGAGTTTATTTATTGATGAAAGAATTTTTTTCAATTAATACTGAAAAATTCAGAGGCAGCTATCTCATTTTATCATTCGACGTATAGTAACATATTTCTTGATTCAGTAATGTTAGTCCGATTCCGATGCAGAGTAGTCCGTTTATCAATTTTAGCGATAAGGTAATAGTTTTCATATCAATGAATTAATAAAATGTCTGATATTTGTTTCTATTAAATTAATGCAGATATTCAATATATTACATCATTGCTTTGGCATAAAGAAATCTCCTGACTTCTTTAAATCCATTAAATTACTTGATTAAATTAAATTCTTCCTTCCATTAAATTAAATGAATGCTAGAATCTTATTATTAGATTTTTTAATGGATCATGGATATTCAATATATTACAATATTGTTTTGGCTTAAAGAAATCTCCTGACTTCTTTAAATCCATTAAATTACTTGATTAAATTAAATTCTTCCTTCCATTAAATTAAATGAATGCTAGAATCTTATTATTAGATTTTTTAATGGATCATGGGGTGTATAGTTCGACCGCCTCATCCACGACCATGAGCACAAACACGCATGAGCTATTCGGACAGAATTATTCTCAAAATAGGTTAGAAGGATGGGGAATTTTCCTTTCTCTCGAGCATATAAATTCTCTCTTTCCGGAGAAGAGAAGACTTACATGTCGCAGCATGTAATAACGTCCCTTTTGGACGAGTCTATGTGTTTTGGCAGAATGCCAGCCAAGGTTGCGTTTGAGACGGTCAAACTATAAAAGTAAACTTGTAATTATATTTAGACATAAAAATTAGCATACAGTATTTACGGGCATCGTTGTCACTTAACTGTCATGCATACAATTTAAAATAATTATTTAAATTTATTAATTATTCCATTTATAAAATTTACTATTCAGCAGATTCCGACCTTCATGGAACCCGACCTTATGCCATGTTAAACTAAAAACGATTGGTGGTTTAAATCGAAAAAGCATACAAAGTAGCACCTATAGGCAGGTTTTTTTTAAGAGTTGTATATATTTTGAATATTAATATCAATTAAATATTTATTTACATCGGAACAGAAATTAGTATTTTGTAAATTATTCCAGAGTATTTTAGTAAATAGCAGTTTTTAATTCTTGCTTTGAAGCAAAATCTAACCACAAATGCCAACCATTAACTCAAGAGTAGACTCGAAAGCTCGTAAATACATAACTTAGAAAATTTTATGCTCATAGAAAATTAATTTTACATGGACATGAAGGAGAGGACCCCATAATACAGTAAAAATATCTGCTGTTTTTCTTGCTTGACAAGTAGATTTTTAAAAACTAGTTGGTTAGGTTTTTCCGGGCGCAAGAGCCAGATAGGCTATACTGCACCTAACATAGATCCCAAAACGAAATTTATAAAGAAGCTTAAATACTACTGCATTCAGCGTGCAATGTCCAAACCAAAATTCTGGGTGATTTTTTTTTATCTAACTGCTAAATGTTAACTAACTGCTTTGTAACAAATGAATGTGTAACAGTTCCGATTTAAAGGCTGGTTTGGTTACTTAAAAGCGATATGATACATTCATCTGTTTTGGACGAACAACTGTTTCAAACAATTTTTCTACCGAATTGATTATGGCTATGGATATAGGCGTGTTTTTTTTTTTTCACTCCTCTCTTCTTGTTGTTGTGGATAAAAAGTTGTAAATTGTACGCTTTCACCCAATCAGCAACGAACTTGAATTGAAGTTCTTTGTAAATATTTCCTCTGTTGGTAATGCAAAATCAGTTTCGCCTTTACGTGGTAATTGGTTGTTGCATATCACCTGACAAAGCAGAAAAATTGCACTAAACAATTGTTCTTCCGACATATTTTCATGTGTGATGCAGCAAGAACGTCTATTGTTTAATCTATTTATTCCGAAAACATCTACCGTATTTATGAACTCAATGTAAAAATAATTTGGGTTAAGGGGCTCATACACCTTAAACCCCTCATGATCTTCGATGTGACTGTTGCAAGAATTGGGATATTTTATTTATTTTTAAAGCAATTACTTCCAACTTTTTACAGTTGCTTACGTAATATAACTGCTTTGGGAACTAGTAACCAGAAAGTTTGTGCTGCCACAAATATTTTTGTAATTTAATCGACTTTGTGACAAAATTTTTCGTCATGTTTCCACCTTCCGCGCATGATATTTTAAAAATCGCTAACGGTACGTACTTGAAATGTGATGGAATTCTTTATATGGACACTATTTTCTAACTGAACAAAATCTGATGAATATTTTAATATTAAAATTTTTATGCACGAAAACATTACAATTTGTTTCAATAAATACATTTTATAAACTCAACTCCAATAAATAAAATTTAACATAACATGAATTCTAAGAATTTTTGGTTCTAGTATTTCAAAATTTATAAAAGCTATACATTAAATATGGAATTAAATTATGCAGCAGAATGTTTTAAACTGTGCGCGCAGGGTGGAAACATGGCGAAAAATTGTGTCATGAAGCGTATTAGATTATAAAAATATTTGTGGCAACACAAACTTTGTCATTACTATTTCAGAGAGCAGCTATATTATGTAGTCAGCTGTACAAAGTTCGAAGTAATTGCTTTTAAAATAAATAAGTTATCCCAGTTCTTGCAACAATCACATAATAGAAGATCTTGTGGGTTTTAAGGTGTATGAGCCCCCTTAAGCGATTATAACGAAATTCAGGTCAAGACTTATCGCTAGGGATCGGTAAACAGACACTCAGTCGGAATCGGAATCCTTGCAATCATCAATAGTCAATGTCATCGGTCCAACTGCTACCTCTTGGGATCGCTGTGAGGCATCAGCGCAGCCGCCATGCACATGAGCAACCTCTGGTCGGAGACACCCACAAATTCGGGATGCCCCCCACCCAAGGGTCACTGAAGCGGCATATACGGCCAATTGAAGGAACTCCCGCTCAGAAGCATGTCTCGGATGAGAGTCTCTATGGGCGTCTTTCCTACTAACCGCACGAAGAAGAGTTGTTCAATCACCTGGGAACTAACAGTTCGAAGAGAAGGTAGGCGGAGTAGTAATTTTCCAAACCGGGTAGGTTGGTTAGGGTATTGTGTCCTACAGTATTCTTCAAGGGCGCACTGAGATTTCTCTTGGAGACTCTCTATGTGGGCCACATCAGAAAGACCACAGGCATCTAGGAAGAAAACAAAGCACATATTAGTATTCAATTGTATTACACTTTTTAATTTTTTTAATATGCAATATCACATACTGGAAAAATCAATTTTTGTCTTTTAAACTCCGCTGTTACTCGCTAGAAAATAAGTACCCGTTTAGGCTGCTATGAGACATCCATTTATTTATTTTCGTTTTATTAATCTTTAACTTTTAACTCTATCCCTAAACTTTCTCGAGCACATGTGGCTCCCTCTAGCTTGCATCAAGTGAACTAACTTATGCAGTTTTCTTATTTCTGCTCACTTTATTTAACCCCTTAACTGCCGCGGAAAACGTACAAGATTCATTTCTCAGTGCCACGGTTTTTCACACAGGCGCGAGTAGTCATGCGATGTATTAGGGGGTAAATAAGTGCAAGTTTTACTTTTTAAAAACTATTTACTTTCAAGAAATAAAGAATAAAAGAAAAAAATGAATGCACAAAATTTAATGTTTTGAGTAAAAGTATAATAAAATATGTAAGTATAATAAAAATGATGTTTTTATAATGAAAAAGATCCCTAAAATGGAGTTTCGATCAATTTATTTTTAGACCAGTAAAGTGTAATATCAGGTTTCAGTGAATAAGTACCTTGTGAAATAAGTATGCCTAAAAAAACACATATTTCTTCTGAACCGGTTGAATGCCAGGATTTTGTTCTTGATTTTTCGTTTGCAAGGTGTTGGTTCCTATACTCGTCTACAAAACAGTTAGTTTCAGTAACAATATGAAGTACGAGCAGTTCATCAAAAAATAATTCAAAAAAGATTAAATGGGTTTGAAACATCCGTTATATCTTACTTTATTCCTGGAACCTACTACAAAAAGTAAACGAAAACGGAGCACACAGAATGAAAAAAAATAATGTTTTACTCAAACAACACCAGCAATACCGCACAGTCATTACTTTCATCGCTTTAGACACACCTCTCTCTCCAATTTCTTCCCACATTTCTCTGAAATGGTATCCTCCTTCGCATACTTTGTCAAAGTCATTGAGGTGTTGCATTCCAAAGCTTTGTGAATAATTTTACAGGTAGCAACGCAAAGCAAATGATAGTAGTTTGGAAGGGCGTATATATACGTCCGGCCAATTAACGCATCGGCTGAGCAAGGCGTATATATACGCCCGCAGCAGTTAAGGTGTTAATTCGGATGAGGAGGTAAATGGTTTTGAACCATAGGCCTCCGTAATTTAAAATCATTGGCAGCGGCATCCATTTGCTTCGGACGAACAACTGCTTCAAGCAATTTTTCTACCTGCTTTAGTATTGAAATAAAGATGCACGATTTTTTCTTTCCTTTCACACACACACACACACACACACACACAAAAAAAAAAAAAAAAAAAAATACTGTAAGTTGTTCGTTTTCAACAGCCAATCAGTTATTAGCATCGAACTTCCCATCATCAACCATAAATTGTAATCGTGAACTAGTTTTTTCTTGACATAGCAACCCCAAAGTGTTCCAAGCTGTTTGCCTGTGTTGTGCTGCGTAACAAAGCAGAAAAATTGTACGAAACAGTTTTTGTAGTGGTGTCCATATTACATGGAACAATGGTTGTCAGAGTCTACTCCGAAGAGAGGTTGGACTTCTATTTTCCACCCCCGATTTTGAGGGAGATTACCGGGGGGGATCAGGTGGTCTCCGACTCCTCAACACTCCCACCAATCCACACGAAAACACTTTCGACTCGCCGCATATTTAGAGTGTCGTCCTGCCTCACCCACACTATACATTTACAAACATCCATGTCGTGTTCGGGATTCGGTACTTAAACACTATACCGTCTGGGCCCCCCCGGGAGGTCGACGTAGAGAATTCTGCGAGGCTACTGGCTAGGATCTGTACCTAGGCAGTCTCGGCCACAGGGGTATAAAATTTATGAACTTGGTGGTCCTGAAGGCCCTGGGAAAGGTCACTTATTGGCCGGCCGCGGTGTCTGGCTTGTTCTGAGTGGCTGGATCCGTATCCGGCTGGGGAGATCCCCTCGGTTTGCTGGATAACTTCTGCGACGGGCTCGCCCATGCGACTGGCAGGTAGCAACTGGCGACCAGTGCTGCCTGGTGTCTTATCCAGGTGGTGCGCTGTTCCCCTGGAGGGTAATAATGGAGGTTGAACCTCCACGAAGTGCCCAAAGGGGGAGTAGACCCATAATGTGCTTTGTTCACGGGGCGGGGCAGCCAAGACGTTACCTTATACCGTCTGGGCGACGTACTAAACAGTGTTCTTTTGAAATGTTCTGAACGTGTGATACAACCTTTAATCATTTTTAATTCCCAGTACGCTGAAGAACTGATAGATAGTAGTAGATAATCAGGAACATTAAAATGGTAGCATCACAATCAACTAAAGATGCCAGCTTTATTACAAACACAGTTAAACATGTAATGAAAGAGTAGAATTGGACGCTCAAGCAATTAAATGCAATTTATTAATTAAGGAAATGACATAATGCCGAGTAAGAAACTTATAATCAACCAATTAGACATGTGATACAATAGTCCTCCGTTAAATAACTGATTACAGCAATAAACAAATTCGGGAATGACGTCACATTCAATGATTGAGTCAACATTTTAGGCCTTTAAGGCGATTAGGATATGTTACGAGTAAAAGTGCAATATCATACTCACTACCAGCATAATCAAACATTACTTTTTACTTAATTTTTTTAGGTAGTTGAACAATTAACATAAAAGACGAGAAGACCTTGTGAAACAGCTTTTCAAATATGTTAAAAAAACGCCCCTTTGGAATTAATTTAAAATTTGAAACCTTTCAGTTTTTTTTAAATATTTTAAATTTATTTCTGTGAGTACCGATTTAATTTATTTCAATTTAATTGTTTGAGTACCGATTTAATTGTTTTCGATTTAATTTATTTCGGTGAGTTTTGGTAGTAAGTACGATATTGCAAGCACAAAATTTAATTGAAAAATACAGAAGATAAGCTTAAACATACTATCAATATTAACCTTGTAAAACTGAATACCGAAATAAATTTAAAATATTTTTTTAAAAAATCTGAAAGGATTCAGATTTTAAATTAATTCCAAAGGGGCGTTTTTTTTTAACATTTTATGTGTTACCTTTACTTATTAAATATCATGTTCTTTGCACTAAAACCATAAAATTCGGTTCAACAGCAATATCGCAAAATAATTTTATAATGAGCAGGATATCTTTAGAATTTCGACACACAGTCTCCCGCGTTGGAGATAAAAATGTTTTTTCTGTACAATGTTGCCATTGCTCGCTTTGAAATTCTTGAGTTTTTTAATCAAAAATTCGTTAAAGTTTTACAAAATATGAAATCGATCATAAAACAAATTCCAAATTAGTTCTTCCAGGTGGTCCATATTCGGTGGAGGATTACGGTATTCATAATTGGATGGCTCTAGGTACCGTTATTTTATCACAATGGCAACAGCTTGAAAAGTGAAACTACGCTTGTGGTGAATCCATGCAAAATGCCAAAACGAAATTAGTTTTGGGCAAATTTCCCCTTTGGATTAATAAATAATAAAAGTGGATGCTACCTAATTCAGTTAAAATGTAATTAATTTTTCAGATATTTTATTATAATCACCAGCACAAATGGACGACGACGTTAAAGCGAGAGGCTATCTAACTAAAGGAAAGGATGCCTTCATGGAAAACTTTCTAAAAGAAATTGGTTCGTATCCACATTACACATAGCACATGGGGAAAGTTACGAAAACGCCAATGCAGCTCTTTTGTTCACCTGAAATCGAACCCTTTTCGTTCCGCTCGACCCCTTTTCGTTCGAGTTTTTAATAAAAACTGTCTTCTATTCACATTACCAGTTTGTTAAGAAATAAAAGAAGACTGTTATGTTACCGATTACAAGTGACCGACTAATCATGTATTATTGTCACAGACATATAACAGAATGTGAAAGCATGTAAATGAAATTACCCACATACTAAAGGCAAGATTAGTAACTGACATATTCTTATTATCAAAAGTACGGGCTAAGCATATGTAGTATTTATTAGCTGTGATAAAAGTCCCCCGTTGCAGCGTTACTGAATTTACACTTTTGCAATTGTTTGCGCTTGTTCCCATTGTCAATCTATCTAGAACCAAAAACCAAAAGATCGTCCACTTCATCAAAGCGAGGGGGGGGGGAAGAGATTTGTAAAAAAAAAAAGTGCGAAGAGGGAATGAGAGAATGCGAAAAGGGAGGGAGCAACAGACAGTACGAAGACGCATGTGGGACAATCACTTGATAGATCACTCCCGTCACCATGGCAACGGGAAACGCCTACCGAAGCTTCATTTGCAACGTATCGCCAAGAATTTATCGCCAAGTTCGTTAATCGACAAATCACATTTAACAGAAAAATAACGAAATTTTTAAAGGTGTTTTTGACAACATAAAAGTCTCTTTGGAAGGAGCATTCAGCATAACAGTGCTCTTCATTTTCACATGAAAATAAAGACATTAAAAGTTAAATGCACGAATCTGGACTATTTATGCTTTTAAAATCTGTGCGCGTCGAATTTGTGTATAGTTTTGTTTGTTTGTAACATCAACTCCGATTCTAAAAATTCGCGGGAAGCCATTTCGACCGTTCTCATCTTCGTGCGACTTATAATCAGCCGAGATATTAATTCAAAACTCTGAAAACGCTAATTTTTGCACTCATTTTTTCCAGTGGCAACAATAGCGCGCACTGGAGATAAAAATGCCGTATTTCGAGAAGTGTTGCCACTGTTCTCTTTCAAATCGTAGAGTTTGTTAATAATAATAATAATAATAAAAAAAAAAAAATACATAAGTTTTACAAAATATAAAATAAGATTAGCATTGCCAAATATTAAATATATTATTATTATATACGGTCATATTCTGACGTTGAAGAAAACACGCGATCGCATATGACGTCATTCATTGCACGTCGAAAATGTTTTGTTAATGTCAGAATTTTAAATAATTAGCTGCT